GATGCGTCAGGTTGCTCTCGTGGGCATGCCCCATTTTCGGCACACAAGCAACGCACGTAAAAATTAACAGACCGACATAGACATCGCTCAAGCTCCCGTAGTGAGGACTGGTTCACACGACAACGGGCTACGCGCGTAGCCTACGGTACAGTTTTATTGTCTCGCACGAGCCACAAACAAAGCCCCCCGTAGCTGCGCATGCAGGTGGAACAGGTGACAAACCTAATACCGCCATTTCAGTGGCCCCTTTCGTAGTTTGCCTACCTGAGGTGTTGTCATTATCCTCCTCCTCCTCTACGGTTAAGCGCCGATCATGTTTAGCCAATTCTAGTATGTTTCTCGCGGGAATTTTTTAAAACCTCTTTCCAGTAGTTATTACGGCTACTGAGCTGTTTATCTCCTGCCACGATATCCCTAATGTGCAAAACCGTCTGGGGAAACAAAGACGTCGATCACGAATGTATCAGTGTGCAGAGAGTCGCGGCATGAACGCTAACGACATCAGTCTTACACCTTCCGCGTGTTCGGTCATTCGCGTCGACAGCAAACTTCCAGTTTTCCCGGTGCGTATTTGCTGTGACAGCAACTGAAACAAATCAAACAAGAGACTTGAGACAGTTCCTGTGCCATGGCAGTTGGTCATTCAGTCGCGTTACTCGGTGCCTGGTGGCTTTCTTCCATCTCTTTGTGGAAACCCTCCCCCAACCCGGCTGGTGCGAAATGACGGCTGATGGCTTCTGAAACCTCCTCTACCAATGGGTGATGGGTTCTGCTGCAAACGGAAATCCAGGTGCATAAATTTCCTATTGAGGCGGCAGTCTTCTTTTTGCTGCTTCTGCCTACCAGAAATTGTCTCGTATTGGCAATAAGTGTTTCAGAATCGAATTAGCAATACTGACTACTAAGTATTAAGTCTGTCCATGTAAGATTGATAAGACTACAAAGAGACTCAGCGCAGAACCTCAATACAAATACTAGAGTGTGGGAAGTAGATTGCCTCCATTCGTGGATAATACTTCACTCACGACACTCAAGGCTGTGCGGTACCTATGTGTTGAAAGACACGATGTAACCTATAAGAATTAGTCACGAACCACCAAGATTTCCGTGGGGGGAGTCAATGTTATATGTGGATGGACTGTGTCATACCTTCGTGCTGACAAAACAGCGATGTCAAAGTAGTAAAACAAAACATACCTACTATTACGAAATAAGTAGGTGGTAGTTGGGTGAAGTAAACGTAGTGAGCCTGAAAGCAGACTGCCACCGAAAATTTTAAAAAACTTAAGAGGTCTGAGAAGAGGGCAAAGGCGGGAGGCAGACAACGAGTGGTAGCGGGGGGGGGTAGGAGGAGGGACGCCCACTGACCTGATTGTTGATGAAGACGGACAAATGCAGGACCCAGGAACGCCAGTTGCTGGTAGGTGCAACAATCTTCTGTCCCGCTTCCACAGTAACCGGCGCGAGAGGAAAGTTCTCCGGCAACTTTATCACCATCTCTAGTGACTGATCACTCGAAAAGTGATAAACAGTGACGACCTGCGGGCGGAGGAAGAAAGACAGATCCCCGGTGAAGTAAAGGTCTTCAAAGGCAATGCCGCCTATAACACCCTATTAAATATACTAAAGTGAACTACATATAGAGAGTCAAATAAAAAAAGTGGATGCGTCGGCCGGTCTACAGACGCTACTGAGGCAGCAAGTCGGCTGTTGGAAGATTGAAGACGCGGGTAAGGGGGAGAGCAACCGATATTTGGGGAGCTGCCGACTGGCAACCGAAACCGAGAGTAACGTTGCAATGGCTCCTCCTCATCCTCCTCCTCAATGCTACCCTAAGAGGACAAAGCCCTCTGTAAGCTTTACAATATTTCCCAGCCCCAGTTAAGGTGTGGTTGGCTGGGCGGGTAAGTCGACCCAAATGTGATTTAGTTCAAGGCTTTCGGCGTGCCCTCATAAAAAGACAGCTAAGAAAACACCAGATACAAATTGAATACAAGCCCGAAACTACCTTGCGCATCCAGCTTGCATACCCTAAAAATGGTTGGCTATTTCAACAGAAGAAAAATCGTCTACAAAATACTGTGTACCAGTTGTAATTCAGTCTACGGTAGCCGAACAGGGAAATCTCTATTCACCCATATACATGAACACCAGTTAGCGATGAAGAGACGAGACCATCTACCCCAGGTTGCTATGTACATAGTGGACACAGGAGACAAATCTGCATGGGAGAAAACCCAAATCGTTGGCGCCTTCCCCAACTAGGAAGGTCTGGGAATTCTCCGAGGCAATGCACTCATTCGAGGCCGGCGCTAACAGGCATATCGATTTAGATACAAACTACAAATTGCTAAAGGTCAGATGGGAGCATAAGCAGCCACTATCGACCAGATAATTAAATGCAGTTGACGCTTATTGGCTCACACTCTATCCAACCATAGAATCTCATATGAAGTATCGTTTTAATGTTAACTGTTTTCATACATCTCTCATTTGTCTCACGACGAGCTGGGTGAAAGACACCAGTCTCTAAAATTTACACAATAAACTTTATTCTACTCCCACCAAA